TGAGTTTGTTTCTGTACAAGACAGAAACCCAAATAAAAACCACAATCCCACTCACAATAGCCAAAAAAAAAAAAAAAAAAAAGAAATACTTTGGCATTTTCCTAACCAGAGAAGAAAAAAATCTTAACAATGAAAACTACAAAACACTGCTCAAAGAAATCAAAGAAGACACAAACAAATGGAAAAATATTCCACGTTTATTGACTGGAAGAATAATGTTTTTAAGATGTCCATCCTACCAAAATCAATCTACAGATTTAATGCAATATCCATTAAATTACCAACATCATTCTTCTCGGACCTGGAAATGACAATACAGAAATTCATTTGGAAACATAAAGATTATGAATAGCCAAAACAATCCTTAGCAAAAGAAACAAAAAGGGAGGCATCACACTTCCAGGCTTCAAACTCTACTATGAAGCTACAATAATCAAAAAAGCCTGGTATTGGTACAAGAACAAGCATATAGACCAATGGAATGGGATAGAGATTCTGAAAACATAACTTTACTTTCTTAACCAACTCATCTTCAACAAAGCCTCCATCAACAACCAATGGGGATTGGTTGTTCTGTAAATGGTGCTGGGAAAATTGACTGATCACATGCAGAAGAGTGAAACAGGACCCTCTACTTGTCACCATAACAAAAATTAGGAAGTTTTTAACTGCATCATATGTTATTCTTGATGGTTTCATTATCACAGTACCTCTTTTTTGTTACCAGTAATTTTCAGAAGTGACAGAAGTTTATGTGATGAAAGTAAGTGAGACACATATTCATAATAAGGAACAATTAAGAAGTTTTGAATTGTTGGTCAACATAGCCAAATTCACTTTTAAGAATGTGTGTTAAGTAGTTACCATTTTATTAAGTGGCTTATTTTATCCCTTTTCATGTGATATTACTGCTGTTTAAAATAGTAGTTATGATTTAAATTCTTTTGTAATTTCATATATATTTTATATGCTAATAAGATGTAGAGAATATTAACTAAAAGGCAAGTTATGTGTAAAATCTCTGAGAAATGAGACAAGAAAGCACCAGCCAACTAATTAATGAATTATGACATTTAAGAAACCCTGAGACTCAGTAGGAAACATAGTTCTCCATATTATTGAAACATACTTCTATATTAGAGATTCTCACCACACACACACACACACACACACACACACACACACACACACACACACACAAAATCTGCTCATTTTGAGTACAAGTATCTTCAGATATATCGCTAAGAGAAGTTTTAATAAAGTAAGTGGCTAAAAGCTTAATATAACCATTTGGTTGCTTTCTGGGGTGTTTTTCTATGTTACTGCTTTAACATTGAATAAATTATTCTTTTATTGATGTGTTTACTATGTTTAAATAATCATTCTGAATAATTATAACATTCTATATCTATATTTTGGGTTAACTCTATAGATAAAATACTAAAATTATTAAACTTGCTGGCAAAATTGAATAATATGAATACATATGATAAAAATTTGTACTTGCTCAGTTATTTTACAGCTATTAAAATCACACCTAAAGGCATATAAAAATATGACTCATAGTAAATGCATTTCTATAGTAAATACATTTTTTTTTTTTTTGGTAAAAACTAATTATCAGCGGCAAGAAGTCCTGCTTTCAAAATCTATGGACAGAGGCTAGATTTCTACATTGCTGTGATTCGAAAGCAAAATTAGTTCATTTAAAGTCTTTGGAGTGAGGAATTCTGAAGGGAGAAAAAGAAACTGAGATTCCCATAGAGTCTTTGACTTAAAGATTGTGCTGAATGTCTGAGGATAATGTAAAGATGTGGTATGTAGAGACTGTTCTCACCTTCTATTTCAATCAAGATAGTAATTTTCTCTTTACAAAAGTTCACTTATGCTTGCAGATACTGACATACTCCTAAAACAGCTCTGGAAAAATGCAAACTTTGAATGTGGTCTTGTGTCTGATGTTCTACCTGGAACAGTAGCGGGGAAGGTCTGAGTATGTGTCTGTGTACAAGTGGGCACTCATGCATATTTCGTGGTAGAGTTTTAGGTGGTAGACATTGTTGAATGTAGTAATTTGGACCATTTAAATAGGGCAAGGAATAAATGCCTGTAAGATTGACTCCCTACTCTCTATATCTGTCTTTTTCTGTATTTATATGCATATGTATGTGTGTGAGGGTGTATTTCTTGAAGTCACTTTTAAAGGGTTTAGATTTTAGTTGCTACCTTAGCTTTCTCTCTCTCTCTCTCTCTCTCTCTATTGACCTGTCTAATTTTTTGTCAGACATTTTGCTAGACACAGTGTATAAAGTGATAGGAATAAAGCCTTGACTTATGTTGATGTCATCCGGATGTATATCCCTTTCAGGTTCAGTTGAACTCTCACAGTTGGTTGATTGTAACTTCATATTAAGAAAGTGAGGTGGAGGTGGGGATGGGAATCCTTTCTTCTAATTGCCTTACCTCAACTAAAAGTCCCATGGAACCAGCTTGGGACTATGTTTCCATTTGGGCTGTTTTATAATAATCTTTAAATAGGGCAATCTATTGGTGATTCACTTTTTTTTTTTTTTTTGAGTCAAAGTCTCACTGTGTTGCCCATGCTAAAGTGAAGTGGCACGCTCACAGCCACCGCAGCCCTGACCTGCTGGGCTCAGTCTAGCTGGAACTACAGGCATGAGCCACCACACCCGGCTAATTTTGTTTGATTTATTGTAGAGATGAGATCTCACCAAGTTGCCCAGGCTGATCTCAAAACCCTGAGTTCATGCAATCCTCTCGCCTTCACCTCTTAAAGTGCTGGGATTACAGGCATGAGCCACCATGCCCGGCCCACATTTTTTTTTTTAAGTTTGAAATGTTCAGTAAAGTGAACATCTAGTTCCTCAATTCTTAATCCTCCTCATCTATTTTTGTGTGTTTTTCTACAATTATATAAACGTTGTGTATTTTTCTGTAATTACATAAACTTAAAAAAAAATTTTCCTAGCTGGGCTCGGTGCTCAGCCTGTAATCCCGCGCCTTTGGGAGGCTGAGGTGAGTGGATTGCCTGAGCCCGCGGGTTCAAGACCCGCCTGGGCAGCAAGACCTCATCTCTACAATAAATCAAAAAATCAGCCGGTGTGGTAGCGCATGCCTGTAATTCCGGCTACTCGGAAGGCTGAGGCGGAAGGATCGCCGGAGCCCAGCAGGTCGAGGCTGCGGTGGCCGGGAGCGGCTACTGCACTCCAGTCTGGGCGACAGAGTGAGACTCCAACTCAAAAAAAAAAAAAATTTCTTGCCCAGTAGCACTTTACAAATATATACATATTAACTATATAATAATAAAACCAATGGTATAAACTATGTAATAATAAAACCAATTTGTATGTTAGATTAACAATTATAACATCAGTATGTGCTCATAGTTGGAAAAAATGAAAATGACCTAAATATGTAATGTTAGAAGGATGCATAAATGCATTTTAGCTTGCTTTTTCATTCAGCATATCTTGGGTATTTTTGCTGTCTTCTTCTGAATGGGCCCATCTGACTCTTGCTCAGAAATGTAAATAAAGTGTTCTTTCAGATGAAGGATTGCCTCCTGCTACCTAAAACACTGCTAGAGATTTTTTTTTTAATTCATTACATTTGGTAAAATTTTTTTTTTACCTAGCCATAATCTGCAAATTTAAGTATAATTTACAGAATTACTCAATGTATTTATTATACTAATAAAGCAAAACTAAAGTAACTATGATATACTAATGATAGACAATGCCATGGTTTCCTTTTCTGATAAAAACTTAATAAATATTAATAGTGAAAATTCCAAAAGTAAATCACAAAACCCAGTAGTAAAAGCAGTGAGAAAATTAAGCAATTGAGTCAAGCACCCATCTATCTGTGGCGTTTTGTCATGCCAGAGCTGTTCTAAGGAATTAGGGCTCAGTCTTTATCTCTCATTTTTCTAAGAGCATTTCTGATTGCTAGAGAGTTCAGTGTGGAATACAATTGACCCTATTACCTGTGGGGAATTAGTAGTAGTACCTCCTGTGGATTGCAAAATCCACACATACTCAAGTCCCCACAGTCAGTCCTGGAGAACCTGCAGATAGCAAAAGTCAATCCTTTGTATTCATGGATTTCGTGAATACTGCATTTTCGATTCATGTTTGGTTGTGAATACAAAACCCATCGATATGGAGGGCTGACTGTACTTATGGAAAAAAAATGTGTGTGAAAGTAGACCCCTGCACTTCACATCCATCTTGCTCAAGTGCAAACTGTTATTACTTTACATATTATAGGGAATTTATTCAAATTTAATTATTCAGAAATTATAACTGAATAATGTCTGTAGCATGTGGTTTAATTGAAGAATATATAATTTTTATGTATACTCTGAGTGTGTTTGGTTAATTCAACTTCAGCCACTAGATTGGGAATGCCTATCACTAGTAAATATTTGAAATATATGAAATCATCATGATGCTTATGACCAACGTTCAGTTCTTATTTGTGAAAGTGGCTTAGAAACACGGTATCTCTCATGAGCATTTATAAACTATCCTGTTTGGAAATGTGACCTATAGGAAAATCAAAGACTAGAAGTTCCAGAAAATTTCTGTGATCCATACATTATAGTACTATCATCTTTATCATGGTCAAACATTAGAGTAAGGATGGATATATATTTTTAGTCTTACAACTGAAAATTCTCACAAGCCTGGTAAGTACCTAAAATAAATGTTGATTTGTGCTTTGACTCCTTAGCATGATATAACCTATCAAAAGTTCATCCCATGTCACGATACTTGTTATTTAGGCAATATTTTAGAGCCCTAAGTATTTAGACCATCTGGTGGTTTAATCAGTTAACTATTATTTCTATAGTTCTTTGTGACATAAACAACTACCTTCTTGTGGAAATCAGCAATGTTTAAAATATCCTTTTGAAATGATGTATTTTATAAATAGAATGATTCTGAATACGTTCTCTCTTGAATATTGATTCTCAGGGTGGTGAGACCAGATGCAAAAAAGTTTGCACTTCTAAATCTGATCTGAGATCGAATGACTTCAGCATTGTTGGAAGCTTACCAAGAGATTTTGAATTATCCAATTATGACTGTTATGGAAAACCCATTGAAGTCAACAATGGACTTGGGAAGTCTCAGGCAAAGAATAACAAGAAGCCTCCTCCTGCCAAACCCGTTATTCCAACTGCAGCAAAGCGAATTGACCTTTATGCAAGAGCATTATTTCCTTTCTGCTTCTTGTTCTTCAATGTTATATATTGGTCTATATATTTATGATAAATTTTTCCATTTGTATAAAAGAAAATTCCATTTCATTTTGATCAACCCCATTCATAAATGCCAGTCTGTGAGAACTTTTGCATTTTCATAGTAACATATTGCATTTTGGATGCTATTTGATTGTAATAAAAACATGGCACCTTAATTTTGAACGGCAGCATGATCATGTAATGTCTGTGCTCTAATAATGATGTATATATGTATAGTGAACATATTGCTTTAGGAATAAATGAAGGATAAGCATACTACATAATATAAATCCAAACAATTATCTTCAGTTAGTATAAATTACAAATACTTCAGGTACTTCTGATAATAAAATGATATGCACGCTGAATCCTGTTATGGTCACCATTCTAATGTATGTAGTATTTCGAATTTCCTTCCCTATAACTTTCAAAGAAAGCTATCTTATTCTTGTATAATTTCAGATGGTATTATCAGAGATTGAGCAAAGTTGTATTGCATATTGTTTAATATTTGTAAGTAGAAACATATCAGTGATACTTATGCAGGCTCTGTGGAGAAATAAAGTTAAAAAATTATTACTTTGTAAAATCAGCTCATTTTGAAGTGTGCTTGTGTGGTCATAATGTCAGATAATACACAGTAAGCATTTTTGAAACAAAGGAAATTCTAGACATATAAATGTATATAGAATACTGGCTTTTGATAAAATAAATAAAAGATAGCTGCATTGATTAAATATTTAGGATAAAATAAATTTTATTTTATCTACCTTAAAAACCTAAACATATTTTCATGGATTTCATCTGTTGATACAGAGTAAACAAAACATCATGCCTTAAAAAGAGTAAGACATATTATAAATTGGAATGCAGTAGTAGTTATGTGATTTTTACATAACTTTTAAGAAACCAGGAAGGAATGCCCTGCTTCTAGAAGTAATTTGAGTTGAAAAGAAAAAATCAACAATATTTAAAGGATTTTAAGTGTTTTATTTTATTAAAATGCTCACATTTTAAGTAAAATTAAAAATGTTTTCTGAATTTATTTTATTTATTTGAATATTTTGGGATTTGTTACAAAATATTCAAAGATTAAGTAAATAATAACTGTATTTATGTTAGACTTCACTTCTACTTGTATTTTCTTTCTTGCTGAAAGTCTAGACAACTGAGATTTACTTACTTTGATCTTGTTCCAACCTGAACATAAGCACTAAGTCTCATTTTATGAGACTCCATTTCTTAACATCACATCCAATGCACCTTTTTATTTCTGTCATAGCTGAAATAGAACTATCAGTAATTCACATAGTGTAAACATAAGAACAAAGAAATATATTTACATCATTTGGAGAGTTTTTTTTAAACAGCTAAATGTATAGTCAATTCAATAATGGAATACATTAAAATATTGTTCATGCAAATTGCCATATGTAATTCAATGCTATTCAATATATTGAAGACTTTTAAAATTGATCACAAAATTTATAAAATGGAATATAGGCTAATCCTCTGTAGTCCTTCAGCACCCTCTAGTTGCAAAAGCATAGCCATCTGAATAATTTAAAGATGCTGTGAGTACCCCTATTGAAGGTCTTCAGGATCTAACTGAGACCTAGGGCAATAGCATTTTAATGGAACTTTGATCAGAAAAAAAGTCTTGAATAGGACTTAAATCACGTAAAAGTTTTGCTTGTAATAATTACATTTACTCATAATGTATTCTTTATTTTTGCCAATTTCATGCTTATTAGGGAGATTGATCTCAATATAGAATTTTAAGTGGAAGATGTAACATATTGAAGACAGGTTTCATTGTATAGAAATTTATTTATTGAAAATAATGTAAATGGGTTACTTTTCTGTAATCTAATAGCCTCTTAAGATCAAATTTAATACTCAATTATATATAATTAGCTATCCCAGGATTAAGTGTGTATATATAACTACAAATGGAACATTAGGCAATGATTATAACAAGTACAATTAGTACTGTTCTTTGCTGACAGTGGGTTTTTAAATCTTCTCAAAGGTTTAGACAAAACTTCAGGTTAATTCAGATCTGTTGTACTTTTAATGTTATACATTTTTAGGAGATTTGCAGTATATTCACTTGGAGGGTAAGCTGATGTCTCAAACTCAGTGTCTCAAAAACAAAAATTATCTATTTCTGTTAAACATTGCTATTCCAGTCACCTGTATCAAGTCCTCCTTCCTTTCTCACAGTCTGCTCTTTCAAGTATCAAATGATATTGATTCTTCCTCTCATACCTGACACCTCCTCTCCATTCCTGCTGACACCATCCTAATTTAATGTCCTATTCTATTCAATCAGCCTCTATCTGCAAACTACAGTCTTACCCCACTACAGCTCCATTTATTTTTGAACTCACTTTGTAAGTTTTGTCTTTTAGCTGCACAAGTAATAAAACAAACAGAGTATTTAGAGTAAGTGTTTAAAGCTGCTGTCAAACCTTCTCTCTTCAACTTATTCTCTCTTGTTCCCAGAGGTCACCATTGTCTTGTGTCTATACAGTCCTATTCTAGGCATTCCCAACATCTATCAACTTTTTAAATATAAAACTATAAGTCAACATAATGGGATATAAGATACATGGAGTTTTGCCTTATGTATAGTTTTGTAATTTTAAAAAGTTTGATATGCCTTAGAGTTCTTTCCAGATTTATGAATATTAGATATTCATAAATCTAGTTTCTGCTACCTATTATTCTATAGGATGAATGTGCCTTAATTTAACTTCTTTTCAAGTGGAAATTCAGTTTGTTTTTTAAAAAATGACAAATAGTATTAAATAAATATCTTTGTTTATGTATGTGTATATTCCCATGGGTTAGATGAATGCCAAAAGTGAAGTTATTGAACTGAATGTTGTGTACATTTTAAATTCTGGTAGGTTATCTCAATAACCCTCTAAAAAGCTGCGAATGTAACTTCTTACCATGGTATGCCCAACCTTTCACAGTAGTCATCTAGTATTCTGCTTTATGTTGTAGACACTACTTTTCTTCTTTCAAACAAATTTGTTGACATTGTTTCAGACTTTCAAAAAATTTACTAAGATTTCCTGTGTACTCGTTATCTAAATTGCTCAAATGTTAATACTTTTCCATACTTGCTATATTTTTCTCCCCTACTGTGTGTGTATAAGACATTTTATTCTGAAATGTTTAAAACAAAGTTGCAGATATAATGTTCCTTTACCTCTACACACTTTAGTGTGTGTTTCCTAAAATACAAGGGCATTTTCTCTCACAACCACAGTGTTACAATGTATCACTATCAGGAAATTAACGTTGATAGACTGCTAAAATCTAGAGACCCAAGACAAATTTGTCAATTGTTCTACTATTTTGTTGTTGCTCAAGATTCAATCCCAGATCACATGTATCACTTAATTATTACGACATTAATTCATTTAAAATAGAGACCATAGTATTCTCCTGCTCAAACATCCTAGGTGACTTGTGTGGTCCAATGAACTAAGTAAAAAATCTTTTCTCATATGAAATGATCACTATTCAACGAGTAACTTATCTTTGCAACTGTTTCTCACGCTACAACTCTTTTCACATCCAAAACTCCAACCAGACTTGATTTTGACCATTATATATCACATTCAACAGTGATTGGAGTACTAACTTCAGTTGGTCCCTTTTCTTTGATGTAAATGGTTAATTTTATGTTTCATGATTTCTTTTAACTGGACCAGGCTTGGATGTCAACTGTCTTCAAATACTCATTTTAACTAATATATATTTTATTCAACATTAAGGGTTTTTAATTTTTAAATGATACATAAGGTACATATTTTGAGGGTACATGTGATCATTTGATATATTTATATAATCAAATAAGGATAATTAGGATATAGATCATCTTAAATATTTATTTTTATATTAGGAACATTAAAATTCTTCTTGTCTAGATATTTTGAAATGGGCAATGGAATGTTAACTAGAGTCACTCTACTGAGATATCAAAGCACCAGGCCTTATTTCTTCTAACTATATATTTGTACCCATTAATCAACCTCCCTTCTCCACATCTCCTTCCTACTCTTCCCAGCCTTTGGTAACCATGATCTATTCTGTCTTCATGACCATGAGATATCTTCATGAACATGGGTTTTTTAGTCTTATAGCTTCCTTTCTAGTGAATAATGAAGTTAAAATATGTTCGATAATGTATGCAGTGCCCAAAGTAAGCTTACATAAAAACAACTCAGTTATTATCTATACTACTAAAAGTTTCAGTTCATATAAATAGTTGAATTTAAAATTTTAAAGTACTAAGCCTGAAATGAGAAATAGTTTGAGATAGTTTTATAGTCTTCAGTTGATAGAATATGATTACACATCTTTAGAACAGCAGGTTTCTAATTATGTTGTCAAGTTAATAACATATGCAATATTTAAATAATTTAGCATTCACTTCATTTTTTAAAAAATGAAATATTCCTAACCTTTTAAGGGGTATGGTCAAGTTCTTCCAAAACATAAGTCAATTATTAATTTTGGAGGCAAAATCTTGCTTTGTTACCCAGGCTAAAGCGCAGTGGAAAAATTATGGCTCTCTGCAGTCTCGAATCCCAAGGATCAGGTGATCCTTCTTCCTTCACTCCCTTGGATCTGGGACTACAGGTGTATGCCACCACATCTGGCTAATTTTATTATTTTTTTTATAGAGATGAGGTCTCACTGTGTTGCCCCAACTGGTCTCAAACTTCTGAGCACAAGTGATCCTCCCACCTCTGTCCAAAGTGCTGGGATCACAGGTGTGAGCCACTGCGCCTGGCAGCCACATTATTAAAAAGACACAAGACAACAGATTTCTTTTAAATTTTTATTATAAATATGTGGGGTACAATCCAGGGTTAGGTACACAAACATTGATCATGCAGGTACCCTGTTAATGAGGTATGCCCCTACCTCCCTTAGTAGTTTCCCTCAACTGCCAATCCCACGCCCCCTACCCACCAACAGTTTCCCATCACTGCCAATCGCTTTCCCATAGCATTATAATTGTTCAAGATCCTCTTATGAGTGAGAACATATGGAACTCTGTTCTTTGTTTCTGTGATAAATCACTGAGTATGATAGACTCCAAATCCGTCCAAGCTGCTGCAAAGTCCATATATTTGTCATTCTCTATGGCTACATAATACTCCATTGTGTATATGTACCACATTTTTTTAATCAAGTCCGGCTTCAATGGGCAACATGGTTGGTTCCACGTTTTTGCTATTGTGAATAGAGCTGCAACAAACATGTATGCAGGTATCTTCTTTGTAGAATAGTTTTAGTTCCTCCGGGCATATTCCCAATAGGGAATTGCTGGGTCATATGGAAAGTAATTTCTAGTTCTTTCAGAAATCTTCAGACTGTTTTCCAGAGAGAATGTACAAGTTTGCATTCCCACCAGCAGTGTAGAAGCGTTCCTTTTTCTCTACATCCTTGTCAGCATCTGTTGTTGTTTGTTCTATTAATGATGGGAGTTATTAATTACAGGGTTTAGGTGGTATCTCAATATGGTTTTGATTTGCATTTCTCTGATGATGAGTGAGGCTGAGC